TCGACCGTGAAAATAATAAGAATGAGCAGTTCGACCGTGAAAATAATAAGAATGAGCAGTTCGACCGTGAAAATAATAAGAATGAGCAGTTCGACCGTGAAAATAATAAGAATGAGCAGTTCGACCGTGAAAATAATAAGAATGAGCAGTTCGACCGTGAAAATAATAAGAATGAGCAGTTCGACCGTGAAAATAATGGTGAAATAGGTGAGAATTTCGCATATACTGTATTAATTAGAATTAAATTCAGCTAATTAGTATGTCATTTAGGAAATGCGTCGGCCGGCCTTTGTAATCCGCAAACGCATCCAACTACTACTCAAAATGTCAAAGTCTCTGCTGAAGTCCAGCAGATATTGGATCAGAAAGAGTATTTTGATCAAAAAGAATTATCGGATCTTGCAGAAAAAGATCAAAAAATTTCAGGATTAGTTGAACTGTATGAAAATACGAAAGCTCAATTTATTGACGCTTATTGTGAGTTTCAAAACAATAATCAAGTGCTTCAAACCAATATCACTAATCTAGAAAATTTATATCAAGAAGAAGCAAACGAGAAGTTGAGAATTCAACAAGCATATGATGAGCTCAAAAGTAAAAACGATGAAGCGTATAAAACGTGGGAAAGCGAGCATTTGAAGAACCAAAAACAAATCAAAAATCTTCTAAATGAAAACAGTTCTTTAAGAGCAGAATCGGCTCAATTTCAATCAGCTCTTGGGAACGCTAGAAATGTTCGCTGGGATGATGAAGATGTCAATAATTCTGTTAATCTCAATAGTGATATCAAAACACTTCAAACTTCTTTACGCGAATTTACCCAGCTCAAAGGGGGTGCATACAGCTTAAAAGAGCAGAGCATAAAGCAACTTTTTGCAAAATATAAGTCAAAAGGAAATATTGAACATAAACTATCAATAAGTGTTGCTTTACAACGGTTGACTATTGAAACCATCCTTGACGAATATGATAAATATGTTCGTGCTTCGACAAAAGTTATTACAGAAGATTTTTCATTAGAACGTCAACTCTTAACTAGTAATGAAACATTTACAAAAATTATTGAAGATTTTGTTATAACTCGTGCCGGAAATGATGAAACGATTAGAATAACTGGAATCAAAATATCCCAAGCAATCTACGCGATGTTAGGAAATCATGGTTTCGAGAAAAAAGACCATCAATTTGTCGCCTCTACAAAACATCAGCTACTCACTGCATTGCAAACTTATCGATTAATTAAATTACCCGAGAAACAGAAAGAACAAGAAGATCGTGCAGAAGAAATTACACTTAGTGTTATTCGTATTCTCAAGTTTCGTCTTTTGGCTCAGGAACCGCCCGCTATTTTTCAGTGGTTCGAAAATGGAGATAAATTAGATGAAGCATTGATGGAATGGGTTTCGACAGGCGAAGATGAATCCAATATGGTTGTCGACATCTGTGCATTTCCAGCAATCTGTGATTCCAAAACACGGCAAAGTTATATAAAGGCTAAGGTATCAATTTGCAATAAATCAGAAGAAAAAAAGGAAAGTTTTTTAGAACGTATCGGTAATCGGATTTCGTTAGGAAGTGGTAATATCCAAGCTCTATCTGGAATTTAACGATACTTATTACATGTACTATAATTTTATGATTTTTATTTAGCAGACAAGTTTTTGCAAGTTTTATTAGAATAAGGTTCTTTTACATGTACATGTATTTAGCATTAGCGTTAGCGTTAACGTTAGCGTTAACGTCCAAAACATGGATTACGTTTTCTAATTGCAGAAACAAGTTTTTTCTGGTTTTATCCTTTTTTGGTTGTCGGTATTTATTATTAAAACTCCTTTGAGGTGTAAAAGGGATTTTTTTTTAAGCTTAATCGGATTCTCTGAAAATGACAAATTCGAACAGTGATATTCGTGTGGTGGTGGGAATTGGTATGTTTTAAATATCAAGAAACGATATTAAAAAAAGATATAGAGAGGGTGTGCATTTATAGAGAATAAATAATTAGAGAGTTTATAAGTTTGGGGGTGCACTTAGGGAGGTTTCTCTGTACATGAATACTGTTTAACCAAGACGTGTCTAATTCTTTTTTATACGTAGATTTTGGAACAACTTATTCAGGTATACATGTATTGTATAATATAATAGAAAAAATGAGTGGAAAGATAAAAAGAATCAAAAGAATTGACAAATAGTTTTAAAGTGAATAACAGGACTTATTGAAGATGCCTAATGAAA